GAGTTAGTGGTGTCTGTACATTTAACATGTCGCACATGGGCGACAACAGTGTCATAAGTCAAAAAACTGAATTTTGGGTTTTTTAGTGAAATAAGTGTAAAATTACTCATAGTTTATGCTGCAACAGTGGCAAAAAGATATTTTTGAAATTAATCCCTACATGGAGACTTGTGTCTGTCTGCAATTTGTATAATCCCTATCATAATTTTCATCAACAGTGTCATAAGTAAGTTGTGACAGTAATTTTGTTAACGTAGGTTAGTAAAATTACAATAAAAGAATGAATAAGTGACCCTCCTCACCTTAAGGCAAACGGTCATGTGGGTCTCGTTTAACGCATTCGTACTTTCATAACTGCTATCGGTGTTCAAATTCATAAAATCAATTAATGATTCTACAAGTGATCTACCAGAACCAAGTGCAAAAAGGGTGCAAATTGCGTGTGGCACCTCCTCCTGGATTAAATCCAAAACTGCTCTACCTGTGAAAAAGGGTAAGTGAGGTTATTGAATACAAAGAATATTTTTTCCTGCATTAACGACACAGAAACAACACGTGCTATTAGTTGTCTGTCGAGGTTAAAGAATAATTTCACAACACCTGCCTGTCAATGCACCCGAAGTTCAAGTCTGCATAAACCTGATAAGTAAACCTACCAAAATTGGATGACCTTAATAATACTTAAATACTATATTTTGATGTGAAATTCACAACCTCAACTTATAAAGAAATCTACCAGGTATAAAATAATTAGTCGCCAACAGTTTCTATAAGAACAGCAAGCATAGCCAAAGAACTCATAAATAAGGGCTCACATACGCAGTTATTAATTACTCAAGTTCAGATAAACACTAGGCAAAAGAAAGTCCTATAGATAATCATTACTAAGCACATTTAAGGGAAACATAAATTACGTTATATGCGAAATAATAAACAACCGCACAGTGGGGTGCAACGTTATTGATAGTCAGCCAGATCGGAATCCGACTCGGACAAAGACACGGACACACACGAACAGGAACTACTTACTTCAAGATCAGAAAGGATAGGTCCTAGCAGCCTATACGCTGCTAGTATACGCCGTTAGTATACTAACCAACCAAGCCCTCTTTTTGAACCCTAATTGAATAGGGTAATTACTAAATTACTAAAATATCCTTCAAAAACAAAAATATTTTCTCTCCTTATCCGCACTCCACTAGCCTAAATCGGGCGTATTGCCAGGCCCGGCAACAAAATTCTGGGAGTGGCCTTAATCATCGACACTATCATCCACGACCTACTGGGCGAGATTGACCAGCCGGGTTTAAAAAGGGGGTTAATAACCCTGGGAAATCAGTGTAAGGCGTTGCCGATGGATCCAGCCATACGTTCCTCATATTCCTATCAACAATAAAAGAATAAATAATTAAAAATTGATCAACACATTTTTAGCAATACAGATATATGTAAAAAATTCATGCACATATTTTCAGAAACCAGTGTGGGGGGAGAGCACCAGTTAACACACATTAGGTCATGCCAGTGCATTGTTTTTTATTAATCTACTGGGGTTAAAAAAAGACCCAGTTTAGGAGGAACAACGAAACTTGCATCAAAGTTTATTAGTACATTGAATGTACTACATTCTTATCTTTAAGGTGGACCTCATCTTTTTGTATATTTTCATCCATAATATAACAAGTGGTATGATTATCATCGATGATATTTTCGAAGGACGCAGGACGAGTGAAATGTGCTGCTATGGTTTCAAAGAGTAAATATCATTGATTATAATATAATTATACAATTAAGTATGAATAATACCACGAGTTATATTTAGTGAAAAAATTTAGTGAACTTTAGGATTTATCGAATTGCCAGTTTAACATTTAAAATTAAAATGTGCTTTAAAATATAGAAAGACCTTATTTATAGGATCGATCTTTTAGAGTTTATAATTCATTATTTTAATCATCAAGTGTAAACAAGGTGATACAAAATATTGTCGTAATAATTACCTAGCTTTGAAAATAACAGCTTTTCGCGACATCTGTACCAGGATCATTAGAACACTTTTATAATGCTTACTTTATCAGGCAATTTGAAAGTTTAAATCAGTGTGTCGTTTTGTTCATTTACATTTTGTGGTGTTTTGTTTTGGTTAAACATGAAAAAATTGGAAGGAATTAAAATGTAGGGAGATTTTGTGACAAGAATATAAAAAAATTAAGAAACTAACTCTAGAGGATAACATATGTTAGTTAATGCTTGATATACATAAATTATGGCTTCAGAATAAACTTTTTTAATCAAAAGGAGGAAGCTATACTCAAAAATTGTCCAGAAAAAATGTGCTAGAAAATGGGTGCACCCTATGGAAGGTGGAGTCTCAAAACTTTTTGTAGCATGCATATAGTTTACCCTTGCCTGCCCCCCTGAACAAAATCCTGGCTACACCCTTGCTGGAAATGGGGAAAGAATCCCTGCTTTTCTAAAGGGTTAAATTAACCCCAATGAAAAAAATTATGCATGCTTTATACACTTTGTTTTTAAAATAATTTATATTGAAAAATATAGGGACACAAATTTTAAAAACTGTTATAATAAAGCAAATTTTAAAATTTAACTGTTGCAGTTTTAGTCCAGATTTTTTTACCCTGTAAATTTTATTTTAAAAATAAAAACATTGTTTCAGAGCATATTTTTAATTATTTGTCAAATATAAATATTATAATTTGAAAATAGTTTTATACGCTGTGCCTGTTTTTGCTTTCGAGCAAATACAATTATTTTTACCTACAGGGTGTATTTTTTATTTTCTTATAAAATGCCTTTTAAACTTGTATTACTGGCAAAAACTGTTAATAATATTATAATATGTATATTCAATTTGAAATACCTATGTTTTTATCCCTGAATTTCATTTTCTTTTATTTTTAATAGTACCTACCTACCTATATTTCTGAGCCGAAAAATATATAGAGTGTAAATTTCGTCAGAAAAAAGTCCCCTCTATCTACTGTTTCTATTTCAAGAGCAAGCAAATGATTTAAAAATTTAAAAGAAAAAATATGTTGAACATGGTCTAAAATTTAAAATTCTTCAAAAGACAATAAGACAAATATTTTTTAAACACAATTTTGGTTTTATTTTATAATCCTTTTTATTTATTAAATAGTAATTTTTTTGAATTATCTAGGTATTATATTAAGAAGTAAACATTTATGGAAGGTAGGTATGTATGTTTTTAATAATAAAAAAATGAATCAATAAATATTTTTACCCAATTTTAATGTTAAGGGTAATTTTACAATCCAAAGAAAGTAAAAATCAATTGATTTCAAGCTTTTCAATCAGACAAAAAAAACAGCAAAGATATTTGATATAATTAACATTGTAGTAATTTTATGTTTAAATTTTTTTTATTTTTTAATTACATCTTTGTTATAGGTATGTTAACCTTCTGAATTTATTTTTTCATATATATTTACAAACAAAAGTACTGTCTATTTTTATCCATATTTTAAATCAGTCGTTAACGACTGATATAAATTTTATCAACCAATTTACATTTTAGATGATTTTATTGGACAAAAAACAAATCTAGTAAACCATGACTTATATTAGCGAAAATTTTCTATGGTTAAATGCAAATGTCACAAATGTCAAATAAATCTTGATGACATTGTTTTATGTCTAATTTAAAATGTCAATGTATAGAAATCGACTTTTTGAGGGAAAATATAAACGTTGATAATTACCCAATTTATTTTACAAAACAACAGTTTTTAAAGAAAATTACTACGTTGCCATGTCGTGAAAATAACCTATATACACTGATATGCTTAATCAGTTGATATATGTAAATAAAGCAACGCTTCTGCATACGGCAATAATTCTAATAATAATAATATTTTTTTTTAATACAAGTAGAAAATTATTTTTTAAAAATACTGTTTTTATTCCTGCGATGATTTTTTACTTATGTGAGCTATTTGAGATACTTTTTTTATTGTTTTATTACTACTGTAAATTATTTTCAAATTTTATTAGTATTGTATGTTAATCTTGTTTATTTATTCTTGATATTTTATTGTACATTTTTACTTTTGACTCGTCCATTACCATGTAATGGTCTTACAGGATAATAAAGTTTATTATTATTATGATTATTATTATTATAACACTATAGTTGTATAAAGTTATCGCCCTGTGGTTTAACAATGTCTTGTTAAATGTAAATCTAAAATCAACCTGACAAGCTTTATCAGTTTGCACTGATTTGGTATAAATTATTTTTTTTGCCTTAAAAATTCTTTTTACTGTTTAATCACCCCTTCCTAACCGACTACTAACCTACTGACTTTTAACTTTAAAAAATTCTATAACTATAAATTAATTTAGACACATTTTTCAAAAACTAAAATTCACTTTTATCGCAAAAAAATTTCAATCCTTGACTTACCTTCTTGGATGTTTTTTCTTGTGTAGGAATTTGTTGCATTAAGAAATAAAAATCAGGAATCACTGGTATATTTTTATTATATTTTGGAATGTAGAAATTATAAATTTTTGCCAAATGGCACAGATCTTTCAGAATGAGCTTTTGTATCTGATTTTTATATTTGTACCATCGATAATCTATCACTGTCAAACCTACGTATTACTAAAGATCTACTTTAAATAAATTTAAACACAGGACATGTATTATTAATATAAAATTTCAAACAATTTTTAAGTATTTGGTTTACATAAGCTTATTATGGCACTATTAAAGACAATAATGTCTATACATTGTTAATTTATTTAGTAGTTAGGAAATAATTTTTGAAGTACATACATACATACATAAAAAAATACAAAAGTTAAAGTATAAAATGTTACCCCATGGGGGTAAATTTACTTTCATGCAAGGCATTTATAAATAAATTTTCATAAATATTAATAATAAATAACAATATACAATCTTACAATATTATGAAAGTTGAAATGCATAAAACTAATTTATACAATACTTACACTTTTAGGTTTAAACCTAATTCAATACTGATATATCAACATTTTTTTACTAATACAGTTGGTTTATGTTTAATTGTTCGCAAATGTCCACTGCATGAGCACAAAAAGTTTTGGTTGCATGTTCACAACTGTTAGGAATTGGATGATTCACTAAAAAATCCGACGAATATATGCAAGAGGAATGCCTCTTTTTGTGATGCCTAGCTTTGCACGCCTTCCAAAACGATTTTCTTGGATTTTTTCCATTTTTGTTTATTATTAAATCTACTTCAGTCTGATTAATTTCATTTGTATAACGAATATGCGATTGGGGACGAATAACAGACACATTTTCCATAAACGTGCAAAGTTTTTTGTGTTTATTGAAATATGCTAATTTCTGAAAGAAAAATAAGCAATTATTATACTTTTAAAATCCAAAAAGAAAAAAAAATTACTTACCCTTGGAACGAACATTTTTCCTTTGGGCCTCCGGCAGATGAACAACTGCTCCTGGGGGTCGTACAGTGCAACTTTTCTTTCTATAGGTACTCTGAACAAAACTGTGGCGGTGTCACTGGTTTCAATTCTTTTTTCCTCAGAAACACGTAAATAACCATGCGAAATGTCATGGTAAAGTTGAACCGAAGCAATCTGTTTAAAATGACATTCCTTTGATTTTGCAACCTGAAACAACAACAAAAAATTAAATTTAGACAAATTTAACTGTTACAAATTCCTTATAAAATTATAAAGTGGTTTTACCATTTTTCAAAATTAGGCAATCAGAGCTGTAAGGTGACAATTTTATAATTGCTTAATCGTATAATCTCATGCATTTTTTAACTTTGCTGCCAAGGTTACAAACACCTAAGTTGCAGGATTTGTTTTACGATTTAAATTTGAGGCTACTTTTTTAAATAAACGATTCATAAAAATTTTAAACCAAAGCATTGTTTTCTCAAGTAAATATTTTATGTTAACTTTTTTTAAAAAATACTTAAAGGTACCTAATTTGTGCAATTATAAACTAATATCGAAATATTCAATCATAAACCAAAGTTAAACCTAAATAAAAATATTAAAAATAAGAAATAGAACAAAACGAGGTGTGTTCAGAAAATAACGGGAATTGTTAAATTTCGCGGGTTCGAAGGGTCCGGTTCTCATAAAATTTTCTTTATTATGTTGGTATACATGCCCCCGAAGTATGATAAAAACTTTAGCTATTTTCATCGTTTACTTTGTCTGTGGCAGCCGCCAAGGTTAGACGTGTTTTATGCGCTCGGCGATTTTCGTTCGTTAAAAGAAATGGATCAAAGAAATTTGTATCCAATTATGCTTAAAAAATGAAATAAATTCTGTGAAATGTTAACAAAGGCCTATAGTGAGTCTGCTATAAGTAAAATAAGAGTTTACAAGTGGTAAAAGAGTTTCCAAGATGGCCGTGAAGACGTTGAAGATGACGAACGCCCCGAACGCCCAAGCACATTAACAACCGATAAAAACATGGAAAAAGTGGAAGAAATGGTTATAATCCATCAGAGAAGTCGCTGATGGTGTTGGTATTTCGATTGGCTCATCTCATGAAATTTTTTTAAATGTTTTGGGTATAAAACGCGTGGCAGCAAAATTTGTTCCAAAATTGTTAAATTTTGAACAAAATTTTTGTCCAAAAACAATACTGTAATATTGCCCCAGCCTCCATATTCGCCAGACATGCCTCTGTCTGACTTTTTCCTATTCCCAAAAATAAAGAGAACCTTAAAGGGCCGTCGTTTTGCAAGCATAGATGATATTAAAAGCGCATCGCTGAAAGAACTAAAGGCTATCCCATAGATCGAGTTTTAGAAGTGTTTCGAGTATTGAAAGAAGAGCTGTCACATGTGCATAATATCCAATATCCTATTTTGAAGGCGACAACATTAATGTAGACGAATAAATAAATATTTTTTTCAGAAAACGAAAATTCCCGATATTTTCTGAACACACCTCGTATACACATTGTGCATTTACCGTAAGCAATTTCATTTGATATTCTATCTGACACCAAACATTTTTAACCTTACTTTTTTCAATTTTAACTTAAAGCTAACACTGTACTTTTTATAATTTTATTATAATGAAATTATGAAAAGTACACTTTTGTACAATTATTAATTAAATTTTTTTAAAGCAATGAATTACTGTATAATTGTCATGGTAATGATAAATACTACCGTGGATAAAAGTAAAATCTCGTCGTCTCATTGGAGGAAGATATCAATTTTCTCCACAGGTCAAGACTAAGCAACTTTCTTAATTAAAAGAAATTTACAAATTCTTTAATATGATTAGAAAAATAATTATGAGAAAAAATGGGTAAATTAATAAAAATTATATATTTTTGGCATAAAAAATTGTTAACTTAATATAGCATCGTAAAAAAACAATATTAAATTTATAAAAAATCAAAATATTTGTTTTTTTGAAGATTTTTAAATTCTTAAATCTTTGAGGTGAAAAAAAATAATGTGCAAAGCCAAAATGCCATAAGTAAAACAAATTTTATTTTTAAATTTAATTGTCAACAAAAAAGCTCCCCATCAATTATCGCATAAATAGTTTAAGATAATTGCGATTTTACTTATAAAAATTAAAAGGTAAAATTGCAATTATCTTTGAAACTAAAATGTATGCGATAATTAACCCTGTTTAAATACTAACGAAATTTATCGAAAACATTTTTTTAACATTTTTTTTAAAGATTAATATTTTTTGTGGTACAAAATTAATTTTTGGGGTTCAGCCCTGATTGGTATGAGAAATTTACTGATTTAATAAACGCGCAATTATTTTAGAGGCTGAAGTTAGCAACAGTGGTTTTCAAGCAGACGGGCTTTTTGTTCAAGGGCTGAAGTTTATTATAAATTGGTAAAAAAGTAACTCGTCTGAGAGTTGTTATATTATGTCAAATATTATGTTAAATTTTTAACAAATAAAATTGACTTAGTTCTTTTTTGTGTTCGTCGTAGAAAAAATATAATATTAATAATAATAATAAAGGTCTTGGACTTGGTTGTTCTTCCATCTATAGATGGAAGAAGTTCTTCCGAAGAACAGCCAAGTCCAAGTAAACAGGCTACATCTCGCCTACATATAGTATGCAACTCGTTTATAAACTTATCACACTCTTTTTATAAACACTCGTTCGCAACCTTTGTTCGTAACTAATTAAAACTCGTAAATTCCGTTTATTAAACCTAATACACAATATTCTATTATTATAGGTATAGTATACTCTCTAAAAATGAATTAGTCAAAAATGACTAATTAAATAGTTATTAGTGGCTGCTTTTTCACTTGTACCATGGTTAACCATGGAATATCATGGTATCCCAAAATTTAACAGCCAATTCTTATGTAAAAATTGTCCCCTGAATCCAAAAATACCGTCAAAAATTATGAAAGTGGAGCACTTTTTGAGATATAGTCAATTCCATATTAAATGGAAAATTGACTATATCTCAAAAACTATTCTACTTTTTTAACTTTTGACGGTATTTTCGGATTCAGGGGTCAATTTTACATAAGAATTTTGGGATACCATGATATTCCATGGTTAACCATGGTACAAGTGAAAAAGCAGCCACCAATAACTATTAAATTAGTAATTTTTGACTAATTCATTTTTAGAGAGTAGGTATTTTAGTATAAAGTTTATACTATAAACTATTGGTACGGATCCCGGAGCCGAGAGAATAGTCACAGCGTATAATTTATCGTATTTATATTTATTAGTTAACTTGGTAAGAAAACGAAATATTTGTGGGTCAATTTTACTTAAACTATTAACAAAGTTATAAATAACTGTATAAATCGGTATTGTGTAGGCCATTAGCGGAGTACTACATTAAAAATTAATTCATTTGCAAATAGTGTGCGTGAATAGGGCTGGCCTTATGCACTCTGAATTACAATAATTGTGCTGCTTAATTCTTTTATAACCATCACTTTTGTAGGCGTTGTGTTCCACTGCAAATGGTAGGTGGAGAGTCTTCATTGGTCGGAATCGTACATACACTTATTGTTTATTTGTTAAGTAGACTGTAAATGAATGTGTTTTGTTATTGTTAAATTGACACCGCCTAATAATTGTCACGATTGTTATTTCAAGATTGGTTTCTAATCGTAGGCCATTAAACGTAATGGAAACACCTATGGCTTAATTAAATTTCCATAATACTGTTAAAGTTAATTACCAATTATGTTTATCGGTTTATTAGGTTTTTAATCCTTTGGATTTTGGCACGAACAGTTTGGAAACTACTTCAAATACTATAAATAGTAGTACCTATAAGTACCTAGCCGTTTGATTTATTAGGTATTATCTTATCTTGTTTATAATATATTTATAGGTAACAATAATATAGAGGACAGTCAAAATAAAGATAAAGGAGTGTGCTTCGTAAAAATTTGGGAATGAAATTTAAATGTGGTCAATGCATTTTTTAACTTAACGAGGTGCGAAAATGTAACATTGGCGCACTAAGGTGTGAAGGAACAAAGTTAATTGACAAATGTCAATCTTATTTTAATAAAACGTACCTAATGCATTAAAAAATAAAATTGTAATAATTTTATTATTTTAACAAAGTTGTGGAAAAAATGCATACAACATGCTTTGGTACTTCGAATGTCATTCTTAATCACCAAAGTTCAATTTCGTGCACTAGGTACATAATGACCAAAAAAGACTTGTACCTATATAAAACGTTACTACATACATAGCTATAAACTTTTGGCCATAAACTAAAAGTTAAACAGGAAAATTTTGTTTTCGTCGAATGCACATGCACATTTATCGATTGCCAATACTTTACACAAATAAACGCTTGAAAAGCTCAAGGGACCCTTTCAACCGTATAAAGCTTAACGTAAACGTCTGGATATATGACGACAACTTGTTTACCGAAAACCGAAACAATAAAGTATATTAAAGTGGCGCAAAACAAATTTACAGAACAATCATTTATTGACCCCTGTAAATCTGTCATCTCTAAATTTAAAAATCCGGAATTTCGTATTTTTTAAATTTTAATTGTTTATTTTAAAGATAAAAAACTATAAAAATAAGTAAAAATTTGTATGGTTTTTTTATAAAAATTTCATATAAAAATTGTACGGCGCGAACATGAGGTCAAAAACCCTTTATAAGGGGTGTGAAAATGGCACTAATTTGATTTCTTGATTGATTGATTGATTTGATTTATCTCAGTGTTTTTTAACTTAGATAATTAATTTTGGCACACGAATACAGATAACAAATGTAACTTCTCTGTTACAAAAAGATGCAATTGTTTAAAAGGTATCAAACCAACCGTTTTTTTAAGAAAAATCGATTTGAAAATTTTTGGTTATAAACGTAGGTAATATTAAGGTATTAATTGAGGGCCTTAAAAAAGGTATAAGTGCTGATTCCCTGCCAAGCAAAAATGCCATATCTACAATATTAAGTAACAAAGGACAAAATATCAGTTTTATTGTTAAAAACTTATTAAAAACAATAAAAAAGTTCTTTTGTCCTTTAATACTTGTAGATAGGGCATTTTTGCTTAACAGCGTAACTGCACTCAAACCCCTTATTCTAAGGCCACCAATTATTCTCCCTACCATATTCAAAGGGCGCAGGCACTTAAACCTGAACT